GAATGCTTCTCCCTCGCGCACCAGCAGCCCTAAACGACGTCGCCGCAGACATCGTCGTGCGACCGATGCGTCGCCGACGAGCACGCCCCCCGCAGTCCCACCACCCAAAGATGGCAACCCACCACCCACAGATGGCAACCAACACCAAGAAGCGACAGCCCGCCTGATGCAACAGCTCACAGTACTGCTCACGGACTTTGTAAAAAAGTTCGGGCAGACTGATAGAACTTTTTTCGCGCCTACCCCCGGATACGAACGTCTGTTAAGCTAGCATGGCAAAGTGAGCAGAATCGTTTAAAATAAAGTGCATCAATTAGTGCTTATTTAGTGCTAATTTAATGCCAAAACCGGAAATTTAATGCTCCCATAGTTTAGCGAAAAATTAGAACACTGCCAGCTTTTAATTAAGCTAGCAGTGTATTCCCTGAAACGCCTATATTAACGCGGTATAGAACTAAAGCAATGCATAGGGAATTTAGTGCTTAATGAGTGCTGGCAGTATCTGATGAAAATTTTGGAAAATAAAAAATATTTTATTTTTTATCAATGAAAACTGCTAGTATGATAGTCTGAGCAAGTGACCGGTTCGAATACATCACTCTGGATCGAAGATCTATGATAATCAACGGTTAATAATTTAGTGCTCAATGAGTGCTGCCAGTATGTGATAAAAAAATAGGTTTTTTTTTTTAATTTTTTATTAATAAAAACTGCTAGTTTGACAGTCTGAGCAAGTGACAGGGTTGAACACATCACTCTGGATCGAAGATCTATGATAATCAACGGTTAATAATTTAGTGCTCAATGAGTGCTGCCAGTATGTGATAAAAAATTAGGAAATTTTATTTTTTTAAATTTTTTATCAATATAAACTGCTAGTATGACAGTCTGAGCAAGTGACTGGGTTGAATACATCACTCTGGATCGAAGATCTATGATAATCAACGGTTAATAATTTAGTGCTCAATGAGTGCTGCCAGTATGTGATAAAAAATTAGGATTTTTGTTTAAATTTTTTATCAATATAAACAGCTAGTATGACAGTCTGAGCAAGTGACCGGGTTGAATACATCACTCTGGATCGAAGATTTATGATAGTCAACGGTTAATAATTTAGTGCTCAATGAGTGCTGCCAGTATGTGATAAAAAATAACGAAATTTTAATTTTTTTTAAATTTTATCAATATAAACTGCTAGTATGACAGTCTGAGCAAGTGACAGGGTTGAATACATCACTCTGGATCGAAGATTTATGATAGTCAACGGTTAATAATTTAGTGCTCAATGAGTGCTGCCAGTATGTGATATAACATTTGGATTTTTTTATTTTTTATTAATAAAAACTGCTAGTTTGACAGTCTGAGCAAGTGATCGGGTTGAATACATCACTCTTGATCGAAGATTTATGATAGTCAACGGTTAATAATTTAGTTCTCAATGAGTGCTGCCAGTATGTGATAAAAAATAACGAAATTTAATTTTTTTAAATTTTTTACAATATGAACTGCTAGTATGACAGTCTGAGCAAGTGACAGGGTTGAATACATCACTCTATACAGAGCACTCATTGAGCACTAAATTATTAACCGTTGATTATCATAGATCTTCGATCCAGAGTGATGTATTCAACCCGGTCACTTGCTCAGACTGTCATACTAGCAGTTTATATTGATAAAAAATTTAAAAAAATTAAATTTCGTTATTTTTTATCACATACTGGCAGCACTCATTGAGAACTAAATTATTAACCGTTGACTATCATAAATCTTCGATCAAGAGTGATGTATTCAACCCTGTCACTTGCTCAGACTGTCATACTAGCAGTCTCATTTGCGGTATAGTATTAGGTTTTGGGGCAATTCATATAAATTTAATATACAGTGAGCTTTTGTGTTACAAAAAAGAGCTATCAGAACTGTAGTCCGTATTCCACAATGGGAATCATGTAGAGAATATTTTGTGAAATTGAAGATTTTAACCGTTCCCTGTCTTTATATATTAACAGTTTTGTGCAACTTAGCAAAAAATTTTGATACTTTTGAAACGCTAATAGACAGGGAAAGACGTTTGAAAACACGCAGAAAGGATCTACCACATCTGATCAAACCTAAACTTAAGATTGTTAAACATACCTGTAGGTACCAGGCGGTCGAAATTTTTAATAGGCTTCCAATCAGTTTGAAATCGATTATTGATTACAAATCTTTTCAAAACAAATTGAGGGACTTCTTGTTGAAGAAGTGTTATTACAGTGTTGACGAATTTATGAGATAGGATTAGGTTGACATTTTTTTTTATATATATATGAATTTTATCCAGTTTGACATAGTGTATTTGTATTTTCTTTTTATTTGTTACAATTTTAATAATCCACTTTGACATCAAAAATTTGTAATTTGATTTATTATTTTATTTATGTCTGCTTTTATTTTATTTTGAATTATTATTATTTCCAACACAATTATATTGTTAAATGGAATAAATGAATTGAATTGAATTTATATTGATAAAAAATTAAAAAAAATAAAATTCCTAATTTTTTATCACATACTGGCAGCACTCATTGAGCACTAAATTATTAACCGTTGATTATCATAGATCTTCGATCCAGAGTGATGTATACGAACCGGTCACTTGCTCAGACTGTCATACTAGCAGTTTTTATTGATAAAAAATAAAATATTTTTTATTTTCCAAAATTTTCATCAGATACTGCCAGCACTCATTAAGCACTAAATTCCCTATGCATTGCTTTAGTTCTATACCGCGTTAATATAGGCGTTTCAGTGAATACACTGCTAGCTTAATTAAAAGCTGGCAGTGTTCTAATTTTTCGCTAAACTATGAGAGCATTAAATTTCCGGTTTTGGCACTAAATTAGCACTAATTGATGCACTTTATTTTAAACGATTCTGCTCACTTTGCCATGCTAGCTTAACAGACGTCGGATACGACACTACCCCTGCTCGCTGAAGTCCGTCGCCCGCTCGCTGGTCGCTCACTGGGCCTCCCTCACGGGTCTCACCCGGTGGGCTTGACCGCGCCGAGGGCGATGCGTGAAGAAGCGGAGGCGGGGGTAAACAGCCCAACGACCGTCTCGTCCCGATGACGAGATGCGAGCCCGACACCACTGAAGTAGGCCAACCGGCCTAGAACAGTTTCCCCGCACGCCGCGGCGCCTACGGCGCCGGCGACGCGCGAGACGACGATAGCGTGTACGTCTTTTTACGTAGATCTACGTATTTAAGGCCTCTTCCGGAAACCTACTAACTTCAGTCCCAGAATCTAAGTATTTACTTAATTTTTTTCAAATTTGTAAAATAACTTAATGCACTAGAATAAAGAAGAATATTTTCCGTTACTTTACTTAAAAACTATACAAATATTTATTTCTTATAAAGATGTATCTTACACTCTCGTATCTTGTAGAAAAGGTTCCCGTTATTGGTTTTGTTGACTAAATTAATGCTGGACGCAGGATTTGTGAAAGCAGAAACGACAAAACTCTTTGACTTAGTAGGTACATTCATAACATTAAAAATTGTCTTTTTAAACTTTTAATATTATCAATGAGTACCTACTCACATCGAATTGATCTTTGCAAAAAGAAATTACTTTCAGTCAATAAAGTTACAGGATTTAGCAAGTTTTAAACATATGTCCATGTGTAAGTATGTTTATTTCTCTTGGCAATTTAAACCACAACTTTTCTAGTCTTTTACCAAGTGTATCATGATAACTACTATATTTTTCATGTGATCTATTAGAAATCATGGTTTTATAATATTAACTTAGAAAGTTTATTTCCTACGTGCTTGCGAGTGTTTGTTTACAAATGTTTTGACGTCATAGCATAGGGTGCGGCCAGAGTGCACTCAGATTCAGATTCAGATTCAGATTCCGAAAACAAGCGCGAGAAATAAACAGTGTAGTCGAAGGGTACGGCCAGAGTGCACTCCTGATTCAGATTCAGATTCAGACTCAGAAAACAAAGCGCGAGAAAAAGCAGGCAACCTGCTTAGACTACACTGTTTATTTCTCGCGCTTGATAACAGAATCTGAATCTAACAACAGTTTATCCTTGTCATTCTCTATACAGAATGAAAAGGAGAGACTGATGTTAAATTTAGTTTTAAATTAAGAGAACCATCCAGAATTGACACCCACCAGTGTCTGTGTCTGATGGTAAATGTCTACCACAGCATGGTAAATGCTTCCAATGCAGCGACTTCTCCAAGAACTCTTTGTTCTATCTCCCGTTCTCAAGCAAATTGTATAACAAAATACTCATTTTATTCGGTTTCACCTAACTTCTTCATTTCACTCAGAAAAAAGTACGTAGATCTACGTACTTTTCATATCCAAAATTTACTAATTCTACGTAATTTTCTCATCGGGCCTACGCCTTTTTCAAAATCCAAGTTGGCAACACTGGTTGTAGTCGTAAGTCAAAGAGTAATTGTCGTACAACTGATTTGGCTGAACGCACAAACCATGCATGCCATAAAAAAAAGAAAAAGGGGGTTTTTGGCGGGATTTCATCGAGTGCGGTTGGCGTCTTATTTTAATTATTCTCAAATTCGTTCATTGTGGATATTGTGAAATAAAATTGGTGTGGTTTTGTGTAACAACTGTCTGCGTAACTGAAGAATTAGTGGAATCATTAAAATATACGCTATTCCGGTCAAGTGGACGTGAGAATTTTATTGTAGTGTTGACTACCTCACAGAAGCTTATCGAAAAAGCCAACTCGATACATTTCGTGCCAAACACTCCAAGAAACATTAGAATGCGTCACACCGACATTCTAATGTAAAAACAAAAAGAAGATAAATTTAATTAAAGACCAGGCTGTATGGGCATTGTTCCCTTTGCCTTCCCTAAATCGGGAGAACTTCAACAAAAAAAAAAAAAAGAAGAATTGGCTGATTTTAGATTTTCTTAGACTTTTGTTTTCTGTTTACATCTATTTTTGTGGATTACAAAATTTTTACTCAAAATGGCAAAAAATACTTCGAGTTCTGCTTTTCGGAAAATAGACATTGATCAATATAACGAAGATAACTTCAAAGATGATGAGGCTGAACAAGCTGTCCCAACTGGACCCGATGAAGGAGAAGTTTGTGCACTTCTCAATCAATATCCTTTTCATAGTTTAATGTTTATTTTTGTATTAAGTATGCCCTACGGAAGAGCTTTGCTGTTTCCTTCTTAACATATCCAGAGGTGTGTGTGTCTATTGGTTTTAAAAAGGGTGTGGCTAAAAAATATTTGTAGATTTTCAATGTTTTGAAATTAACAACTGATACTGCCAGTGCGTAATTCTAAAATAGCTTAAAATATTTATAGTTTTTTTTCAAAATTTCATGATAAATCTCTTTGAAGTCTCAGTACTCTACATTTTTGTTGCACCCAATTTGTAAAAAAATTATGTCAGATCTAGAACTGATATAATCATACATTTTCAAATAAAGGAAGTAGAATTAGTTCTGGAAATGAAAATGTAATCCTTAACTCCTATAATACAGGCAGGCACATTGAAGCTCTTAGGTTGGTGTTGAATAATGCTCCAATGGGATCTTCAAACCAGCAAATAAAAGTAAGTTGAAATTTATTGTTGTTAGTAGTTTTGTATTTGTAGGGTTGTGAGCATTTCCTGTAAATGCTTTCACCAAAGTACTGATGTATACCTTCACACCAGTATATCCCTTGTGGGTTGGCAACACATCAAAGGTGCAACTTGTGAGTAAAAAGTGAACTTTACTCCCATTGCCTTATCTCATCAACAGCGTATTGGAGAATAGGTTTGAGTTAAAGTTGTGTCTGGAAACAATCAATTTTAGTTTACGACCTTTGATAATCACTTTACAACACTTTACATTAAAACAAAATATGTTCACAAACTTTCACACCAATTATCGTAATCCTATTATAGTTATTAAATTTACATGCATGGCGGACAGATAACACTCAGGACACTGATTGTGCTTAAAATGTACTGTCTGGAAGTGGTGGGTTGCCAGCCCCAAAACCACAACTATTTTTAAATTGCCTTGATTTCTACATCTCACTCTAATTTCAGAAAGGTTATGTTATGGCACAATAGATTTTCAGCTATAATATAGGAGTGCCTGCATAGAGAAATAATAGGACTTATACTGGAATGCCAGAATTGGTCCAATCCCCATCTTACAAAGGACCACTGTAAAATATAAGAAACTTGAGGGTGTCTTCTTTCTGGAAACAAGGTTCTGGGGCCCCATGGAATAGGGGCTAGGTTCAGGGTCAAGGCAGTTAAATAATTGTTTTTGTTACATAATCAGTTGTTAAAATATTTGATTTGTAACATTCTTTTTAAAAAGAACACAGTTTCCACAACTATAAAAATCTTACTTTTTTACAGGACAATGCTCTGGCATTAACTTTAAAAGTGCTTCTTGCCATTAAATCTGCCCAGATTGAAGAGGTAGTAGGAAATCTTTCAAGAGATGATGTAGATGTCCTCATGAAGTACATATACAGAGGCTTTGAGTACCCATCAGAAGGTTCAAGTGGGCATCTTTTGTTATGGCATGAAAAAGCATACAACATAGGAGGTACTGGATCTATAGTAAGGGTATTGTCAGACAGAATGAAAGTGTGATCACACATCACTGATGAGTCATCAGACAAAAAGTTTGTTTTAAGTACATTTATATTCAAATATTTATATTGAATAAAAGTATTATTGCCTGTTTTCTACTGTTTAAATTTATTTTATTCCTTATCCTACTAATATTATAAATGTGATAGTTTGTATGTTTGTTACTCAATCACGGTAAAACGGCTGAACAGATTTGGATGAAATTTAACACACAGATGGCTTATAACCTGGAAAGTATATACAGTTCTTTTTATCCTGTAAAATGTTAGGTTCCAGAGGGATTCTCAAAAAACTAAATGCGGCCGCCAACTTAGTGTTGAGATACAAATTAAACAGTTTCGCATCTTCAGTTTCTCATCGGCAGTCTATTAATGTCCCAATAAAAAATGTTATTTGTAGTTCACTCACCTGACCAGTAGCGTGGCGTAATATAGACATGGGTGAAGTCGCATCAGCGAGGCCCCAGTTCTTTAGTTTTCCAGATCTACTTTATCTTACGCAACAAGGTTTGACAGTATATACAGGGTTACAGGGAAAGTCGTACTGAATATTAAAGAACGTTATTATTCAGGTCATTTCTGATGGATTTGGTCCTATAATATGGTGCCCGAAACTTAACCGTTATGGAAATATTGGATATTAAAGATTTTTTTAATAAATCCTATATTTTTTGGGTTTTTGTCGATTTTTTTGAAACTAGAGCTCCAAAGGTCTGATCTTTTAATGTATCTAGTTAGAAGACATGTCCAGCAATAAAAATAATGAATAAAAACTGAACCTACTTCTAACGGCTTAAAAAAACTGCTCGATAACATTTATAACTAAAGAATTTTCACCAAGTGTTCTTAACTTTGAAGCACTTTTCTAAAAAAAAATGTATGGAACTTATTCTGCAAATAATTTTAAAAACTTCTACGTCTCTTTAGCTATTCAAAAAGGTATAACACTGCTATTAAATTGGCAAAACATTGACCAAATAACAGTTATGGTAGCAGAGGGTACATTTTTAGTTTCAGGTAAAAATAGCAAAAATAAGTAAATAAAACCAGAAAAGCATCATCCTCATCATCACCAGCCTATTAATGTCCCCACTGCTGAGGCACAGGCCCTTCCCTATTGACGGAATAGGGAGATTGGGCCATGACCCACCACGCGGGCCCAGTGCGGATTGATGGGTGCTAACGACTGCAGATGCGGCCGGGACCAACGGCTTAACGTGCCTTCCGAAGCACGGAGGAGCTCGAGATAGTAATTTTTGGTCACCCATCCAATGACCGACCACTGCGAAAGTTGCTTAAGTTCAACGATCGCAGCCGAACGCGCTAACCACTTGCGCCATCGAGCTGCTCAAAATTATGATTCATGTTCAACATGGCCGCCGCTATTTCTAACACAATATACTCTCAATCTTTTTCTTAAATTACTTTTTACTACAGAAGTTTTTAAGTTCCGCCTCATATCCTCAGCCGCACCAATAAATCCTTTGTCGCAAAATATCGATATTTGCGATCGGCGTCATCTGGTCGTATACAAGGCTTTTCATATGACCCCACACATAATAATGAAAAGTCTTGTATACGACCAGATGATGCGATCGTTGAACTTAAGCAACTTTCGCAGTGGTCGGTCATTGGATGGGTGAACAAAAATTACTATCTCGAGCTCCTCCGTGCTTTGGAAGGCACGTTAAGCCGTTGGTCCCGGCCGCATCTGCAGTCGTTAGCACCCACCAATCCGCACTGGGCCCGCGTGGTGGGTCATGGCCCAATCTCCCTATTCCATCAATAGGGAAGGGCTGTGCCTCAGCAGTGGGGACATTAATAGGCTGGTGATGATGATGATGATGCTTTTCTGGTTTTATTTATGTATTTTTGCTATTTTTACCTCAAACTAAAAATGTACCCTCTGCTACCATAACTGTTATTTGGTCAATGTTTTGCCAATTTAATAGCAAGTGTTATACCTTTTTGAATAGCTAAAGAGACGTAGAAGTTTTAAAATTATTTGCAGAATAAGTTCCATACATGTTTTTTTTAGGAAAGCGCTTCAAAGTTAACAACACTTGGTGAAAATTCTTTAGTTATAACCGTTGTCGAGCAGTTTTTTTAAGCCGTTAGAAGTAAGTTCAGTTTTTATTCATTATTTTTATTGCTTGACATGTCTTCTAACTAGATTCATTAAAAAATCGGACCTTTGGAGCTCTAATTTCAAAAAAATCGACAGTAGCCCAAAAAAAATAGGATTTTTTAAAAAAATCTTTAATATCCAATATCTCCATAACGGTTAAGTTTTGGACACCATATTATAGGACCAAATTCATCAGAAATGACCTGAATAATAACGTCCTTCAATATTCAGTACGACTTTCCCTGTAACCCTGTATGTTATGGGCCAAGTGATTAATGAGGGCAGTATTCATAATGCCAAGGCAGTATGAATAATGCCCAGCCATATCGGGCCAAGTGATTAATTACAATCTAAACTCACCTATTTATCACATTGCCCGGCCATTATTAATAATGCCGGACGGCTCGTGGTCCATGTAATAAGACAGTGTTTGAGATAGCTTGAATTTATCGCTTGGACCGGGCAGTATGAATAAATTCAAAACGTTGGTACTATTGTCAAAATGACAGATGTCTCGCCATTTTGTGTTTCTTTTGAGATCTTGGTAAATAAAAAATAGTATGGGCTCAACACTTAGAAAAAAAAATGGGTGCGTGTACTTATGTAGGCGCGTGAGAAGTTATCCTTCTTTGGCATCGTTTAAAATTAGTTTTTAATTGCATGCAAATAATTAATTACAATAAATTAATAAAAAGTCTGGAAAAGGACACAGTCAATAAAGTTCAGTTTTAATTTGAAAAAATAAATAAATAATCAAAATATTCAATTAAAATCGCTACTGAATATAATTTATTAGAACATATGTGATTTGCACTTGTATGAAACTCAAACACGTATTCCGAATATTCAAACTAGAAACATGTGGATAAATATTATAAATATGAACCTATAACTGTTACTTTATTACAAAAAATAAAGATGTGGTTTTTGGTTCTACTACACCAATGGTCAAGAGATGGCGCTGTAGTCTCCTGAATCGCGCTTTGGTTCCGTTGTTCCAGATTAATAAATACTTTTGATATTATAAATATGAATACCTATAACTGTTACTTTATTACAAAAAATAAAGATGTGGTTTTTGGTTCTACTACACCAATGGTCAAGAGATGGCGCTGTAGTCTCCTGAATCGCGCTTTGGTTCCGTTGTTCCAGATTAATAAATACTTTTGATAGGCCTTCACAATGTAGTCGTTAGCACCCACTAAATAGAGATTCTATTTCTATTTTGTTGGTAGATTTTCTTAATGTGCGGTAAACACAAAAGTAACGCATGAAGTTGGTCGCAACTTCATGCTGTTAAAATTTTGTGTTACAGTGATGCGCGCGCATCTTAAAATTTCACTCTCATCATTTTTTCATAACGCGCCTAAAGAAGTATAACTTCAAAAAGGTAAATGTGGCTTTACAACAGTTTTTAATCCAGACCGACTTGGTCAACCCCGACACGCCGTGGTCTTGGTCTGCCCTACTTCTAGAGTTTTTTAGAGCCCGGAGGCGCGGAGGGAGAGCAGCCTCCGCCTGCTGTGACAAAGCCGCAAGCATCGTGCGTATCCCGCTCTTATTGGGCATTATGAATAATGCCCGATTAATCACTTAGCCCATAACATAATATATACCTTATAATAATAAATCATTATTATGTATTAATTTTACATACAAGTGACTTGGATCTAAGAAAAAAAACAAAAGGTGTAAAGAAAAATACATAGCCTGAACTAGGAATATCCTGTGTTACAGGCAAAGAGATACTGCTTATTTAGCAAGCAATGCCCTGTTATAGTGCCCAATATTTCTCGGAGATCAATTCGGTTAAGATTTAGTAGTTTTCTAGTTAGTCTTGGGTTGAAGCTAGGGAAGATAGCCTTAGATTGCCTGCAGCCCTCGGTATTGACCCAGCGGGTGTTGTGGCTCTGTATGGTTTGTTGGAACACCCATGTACGAATTTGGTTAAAGGGTAAAGGCAGGAGCGGCTCAGGGCCTTCCTGCTCCCAGGATAACCTTGTTCTCTCTGCTCCAGTTCTATTTGCTCCAATGTTAGGTGACATTCGTATATTAGCCCGAAGTTTTGCTGTTACTGTCTAGCTAGGGCTCTTAAGACAGCCATACTATCAGATATTATCGTATCTTATAGTTTGTGACTGTCCTGTTAATAACGGCGGTGGCGGCCTGAGTAATAGTTATACTCACATACGCTATATTCACATTGGAATATTCAAAAAAAACAATATCGTTTATTCTGTCTAGGCTGTTACAAGCACTTGTGAATGTCGAAAAGCTACGCCATCGGTTCGCAAATCTACGGTGGGAGACCTTGTACTGAGAAAAACCGGCAAGAAACTCAGCAAAGGGCAGTTTTTTTCTCCCTGTATTATATACAAAGTCGTCCAATTGAAAAATGACTTCAATATGAGAATACTCATGAAGTCACTTTCCTTTACAAATGTAAATGATATAACAATTATGACTATAGAATAAAAAATGTATAAAAAACAGATTTAAAAAAAGTTTAGGAATGCCGTGTCCTACTGTTTAGGCATAAAAACAAATGTACGATTAAAATTAAATACAACGATTAATTACTATTAATCGTGTGGCCCAATGTAGCAAGAGCAGACTGATCTCCGCTGGCAGCACCCGTTAACCCTTCGATTGGTACTGTGCCTTGCGCGGAACACTACCTTGCAAAAAATCTGGCTAATTTATTATTTATAAAATAAGTTCAAAATCAAAAAAACTGTAAACTATTATAAATCTTTTTTCGGTAAAAAATATTTTCCCGACCCGGCAAAACTACATCTGTCAGTTTGACAGTTACAATGGCGTCAAGACATCGTGCTTCTTCGGTGCTCAAGGTAAGATAATTATTTTATTGTTTTTTTATGCTTTGCGGCTAAAATCTTTTGTAGTAGCATGTTCCTAAAACTGTAGTTTACCTCACCATGTTTTAATTTCATCGCTATTGTTTGTTTTTCATCACTTTTAACAACCTCTTTATGTTGATGTTCCACGCATGGTACATTGCCAATTGCCTACGGATTTTGATACCGCCTAGCATGTACCTTGCATGGGACTCTGCATTTAAATTCAATTTAATCATTCTTGTTTGCGTTTTTTGTTTACCATTTCTTGCTTTTTTGGTTATGGGTTGATTTTTTTTTCTCTCGCTTCTTTACAGTTAAAACAGTCACGTGATGCGAAGATATTTTCACTTGTGCCAAATATTTATGCATATTCAGAGGGAAGTAATGAATCAGATTCTGACCATGAAATTCCTAACCGCACGTATTTTTCACTATCTAGCTCTTCTTCTTCCATAGCAAATAATTCTTCATGTGACGACTCCCTTACTTCTCTTTAGGATTTGGTGCAAAGATTGTGACTGCGCTATGTCAATCAATTAAAAAGAAACCATCTTTTGTCTTTTGTGACAACTATTTTACATCGCTGTAGCTTTTTAACATTTTGAAGAAAAATTACGGAATATTTGATCTTGGTACAATTAGATCAAACCGAATAAAAGGTGCTGAAAAAGTACTGCCAGTTGATAAGACCTTCAAGTAGACAAGGAGAGGCTCACATGCTCAAGTAGTTTGCAACAAAAATTAATTGTCTATTGTAAAATGGAATGACAACAAACCAGTCACATTGATCAGTTCATACGTGGGTGCCGATCCCGTCGGTAAAATTAAAAGATACTGCAAAGAAGACAAAGCCAAAGTTGATTTAGAGTGTCCAATGATCGTAAAAGAGTATAATAAATACATGGGAGGGGTGGATCTGGCAGGCATGCTGATCTCTTTGTATAAAATTCGCTTCAAAACCAATAGATGGTATATGGGTATATTTGTCCAGTTGATCGACATATGCCTCAACAATGCCTGGCTGCAATTTCGGAAAACGCAGAAAAAGACCATGTCTCTGAAGCGTTTCAGGCGAGAGGTTTATGAAGAACTAAAGAAACTTGGTATTTTAGTTAGCCACGTGGTTTCCATTGAAAGTAAGGTTAATAAACCAACGATTCCCAGGCCCTCGAGTCCCATCAAATATGATTTCATTGGACACTTTCCAGATATAGGAAATGAACGAGGTCATTGTAGGCATTGTCAACAGAAAACCAATGTTTTTTGTATAAAATGCTGGCTTTGTTTTGTTCCCGGAAGGGATCCTAGAAACTGTTTTCTATCATTTCATACTAAAAACAGATTTAAGTACAAACTTTCTATTCAAAACTTTGAATACTTACAATATTTTTAATATCTGTTTCTTAGGTTTTCACGCACATCACTCATTAAATAAAACTAGTTTTAACGGGTTAATGCACGAAACTTTGCGTTACGTCAATAAATACATAAAACCGTTAAAACTAGTTTTATTTAATATTTTTAGTATTAATAAATATTTGTTTTTGATTTTTTTAGGATCAATGTATCCACTGTTTTGTTTGGTATAGAATCATGTCTATTAAAGGATTAAATTTGATTAAAAAAAACACAATTTTTTATTTACACATTCTTACCCTTAACTTAGCAATGTACCACCTAAGGAACATCCATTAGCACAAAAGAAATCAAGAAAGATTGGCAATGTTCCATGTGTGGCACATCAATTTTCCGGAAAACTGAAGCTTATAGATTTTTTGTACTATTTTTTAACAGTCCTTTACTGACCGTAGAACAAGACTGAATCGATAGAATTACGAAATACAGCAAAAAATGTGTTTGCCAATCCAAGGGTTAACGAGCATGACGCATGAGCCAGCCATCGCTTCGCTCGACCATTTTATAGGGAACGTAACGACCCGCCTCACACGACACCGCCACAGAGATTTTTAAGAGAGCATGACTACTCATAACCGCCTATGGATACTAGATTGCAAAATAGGAAAAAACAAATAAGTACCAGTGTACATTATTATAAAAAGCTATAAACACAACTGTAGGACACTTGCATGTGATTACCTAAACACTAGTGTCGACTCTGCCACTACTCTCCAAACCCAAAACCCAAACTCAACATCAGTGCCCCTCTTTCACTCTGTATAGAGAATGACAAGGATACACCGCTGCAAAACCAAAGTTCAGGTCTAGAGAATCATGCCTTGACTTCATCACAATGTACCTATGTCATGAAAATTCCACAGAACAGAAATTCCATACTCATATCGATCGGTCTGAATCATGCATAGGTCCGACGAAATTTATTATTAACTAGCAAACCCAGCGAACTCCGTATCGCCACCAGATAGCTTCGTTTTATGTAACATTTCGTTTTGTGATTAAAAGAAAACGATTTTTTTTTAATTTTTCCTGAATTTTCTTTGCTATAAACCTCACGGAGCCCGAGACCTTTCCAACGAATGCAAAACCGTGGAAATAGGTTCGTGCGTTCTGGAGTTATAGCGTCAGGAAGGAAAACCCGACTTATTTTTATATAGTAGATTATGGCTTGGTGCAACTGTTCACAAGATAAAAAATAATACGTTAAGTACGTATTTAAGCAGTTTATTTGTGCTAGATTTATAGCGAAAGGAAAAAGTAAAAAATCTATTTGCTTGACCTACTGTTTCAACATAATCATATAGGTACTTACTGCATGCAGAAACGCAAACGTTACAAAACTATCTAGGGCGGGCGCTCCATTTCTCTACAGCTTTACCCAAGTTCCAAATCTATTTTTTACACCAAGTGCGTTGACATAGTATATCTGTGCAGAAACATGATACAATAATTAACTAGTTTGTTTTATAACATACCTATTCAAGTCGTATTAGAAAGGCCATAGTTATTAATAAAAAATACGTACGACATAACCAATAATAAGTTCTTGGGTAATAAGTATATTATAACAAAGTTTTTTATCTTTTATTAAATTACGACTTAATCTTTGAGGCATAATTTTGAGAAGGTTTTGATTTAATTAGATGTTTTTTAATGCGTTGAAAATAACTATGAATGGAAACGGTGATTGCAAATTACCGTGTATTTGTCCAGGCTAATTCTATTACACGTTTGATCTTCGCATTATGCATCCATGTATGTTTTATCCCTTTATTGGGTATGTAACAGGAGAGCCCATGAGCCCATCTTTAGCACTCTAAACGTTATATATAACCACGTAACTATTCGTTATTTGTAGGTAATAATTACAGGATCAAATTAATAGCAAGCAAGATCAATGCCAAAGATACGTTTACCTAGGTGGGTAGCGAGCACACAACTGTAGCCTATCTTACCATATAAAAGTTAATTGACTTAAACAATAATAAACAACCGATATAGCTGAATCAAGTAAAATGTATATAATACTTATATAATTTATTAGTGCAGTCGCCACCGCTGGTGGCCTGTAAGTGTCGGCTAGCTGCTAGTAAAGAAAGTAATTGGGCGGGTGGCGAGTTGCCAGTCCCTCGCTGCAAGAGAATGCGCCATATATAAGGCCCTCAATACACTTGACACTCGATAGTTTTTTAGACGCGCTGTCGAGGTACACTCACCCACGGCACAATGGAGATTCCGGTTAGTAATATCACCTGCGTTGCTCTGGTTTTCTTTTATATTTTTTGTCGGTCAGACATTATCTGGAACATCTGATTGTTGTGCAATACTTTCAATACCTACGTAATACAGTAACCTAAGTACCACTTTCTTTCTATTTCTTCTTCCGATGTGACAAACAGCCCATTCGTAAAACATGTTTTGTGTCCATTTTTGATTTTGTATAAGGAGAACAAAATAGGAATTTCTATACCGTAAACTTATCTATGTTATTTCATGTTTAGCTCTCAATTTTTCACTTGTTGTTTTTTTTGTTACAGAAATCAATATTCCTGTTGTTGTGCATATACTTCGCAGCCGCTTCCCACCATCACTCGCATATTATTCCTATCGACGGCTACGAAACAGAACTTCAAGATCTAGGTCAGCATGTAGAGATACCCGAAACACCAGTAAAAGTCATCAAAATCACGAAAACTATCGCAGTGAAGGTGCCTGTGCCATACCCCGTAAAGGTTAGGGAAAAGGTGCCCTACCCGGTGCAAGTAGCCAAACCCTACCCTGTGCCAGTTCCGCAAATCATTAAAGTGCCACATATTGTAACTCCTACCAAATCCGGACACAGCAATGAAGGAACCTATGGCGGGAACAACCAATTTAACACGCACCGCTTAGGAGTAGAGGGCAACTCGTATCAAGTTCAAGAACCGCAAGACGGACATGCTTTTGGCCAGGAAGGTCAATCGTTTACCGGCGGCAACTCCAATTATGGCCAGAACTTCGGCGACGACATTTCTTATGAAGGTGCCCCAGGTAGTTCCTATGATCCTCCCGCCAGTAGTTATGAAGGATATTCCGCACCTCAAGATAGTGCCGCTCATGAACCGGAGGAATCGCAGAGCTATGATCAGGCGTTGCAAGACTATTTTAGCAAACAAAAGTCAAGTGGCAACCAGGACGGTTCCAGTTACTATTAATTTAAGATGTCGTTATTGTTGTTATTACGGTGTACCTGACTGATGACGTGATTATTTACTGTATGTATAGGAACAGAATGCTTTGAACTTCTTCTGTTATTTGGTTTTAAAAAGGCACAAAAATATTAACGCCTTCTTGTTGTTTTGTTACTAGATGTGTAACTATATTGTTAATCCTGTAAATAAATAAAAAATATTTTTTATAATTTCCTAGACGTTTATTTAACAAAAAATGTATCCCAAAAAGACAATAAAAGCTACATAACAAACATAAAATATAAAATGGTTAATTTGGTTCAATAAAACTAATTTACCCATTCTGATTAACATCAAACTACCTAAGTACACTTAATAATATTTATTTGGAAACAATTATTCCAAAATAACCTATAACTAGCAAGCCATACAAATATGTATTTGAAATGATATTTAAATGTTTATTACTAAACACAATAAGTGTTTATATAAATTTGTGTCTTAACGTAGCGTAGTAGTCTCTTAAGAGATTGTTATTACACACATGCAATAGGTACTGTATTTTTATAACTTTATTTGTAGAATAATTCGATATTTGTATTAAAACGTAGGAGAGAATTACACTCGCGGCCGTTTTCTAGCTCTGGATACACCGAGGTCCAACGAATCTTCGGTAGCGGGACTCACGGGCCGAATCAGGACTTCCGGTTTTTCGTCTTCGTCGGAAACGTACATTCTCGTCAGATCCGAGGCGACGGAAGCTGTTTCACACACACTGCAACAAAAAGAATACTTAGTACACCTTTCGCCAAAAGTCTAAGTTAGGCAACACCATTACATAACTACTGATCTGATTACGGCAGGTAACTCTTGAAATATCATTTAGTTTGCTGTTGGCCGTTGCTCGAGTGGTAAAACGGAATAATAATTAATAAAACATCAATCTGTAATGCTGAGCACCGTTTCTTTTTACCCGGCTGCGCAATGCAAGAGCGCGAAGCGCTACGCGCAGACAGGGTTATGTGTTTAACAGTCTATATATGTATGTTTGTTCCTTTGTGGCACACTAGAGACCAAACGCCTGAACCGATTTTGATGATTCATACATCAATCGATTCGTCTCAATTATGGGAGTGCTACTAAAGATATGATAGTAATCAAAATTCAATATGGGCAAAATTAGGCGCCATATTGTGACGAAGTAAAAAAAATAAGTTGACAAAATATGTCAAGTGGGGTATCACTGTCTAGATAATCAAAAATCATATTTAGGTTCCTAACACCATTTTTCATTTTATATGATTGTTTAGGATCTACAACGCTTTAAAGTTGTATATTAACCACTTACGCTTTTAATTTCAATCTTACGTTTGTATGGATCTTTGTTACTCTTTCACCTAAAAAATACTGAATGGATTTTAATGAAACTTAACAGTAATATAGCTTATATATGATAATTACATATATATAATAATTTATGTAGTTATTCAGTGACTTGGCCAATATATAACAATAAGTGTCACATAAGACGGAAAAAAATCTCCCATCTGGAACTCGCGGAGCGGATGCCTACGTCATAACTTATATTGAAGTCGGCTCCGCGAATAAAATTGTAAACAGTGTAAAAATTTGCAGTTCGAATACGAATTTAGTATACTTTTCTTGCCAGTGAACCAAGCTACTTAGTGGTGCAATTTGTTTTAAATTCCGCCCAGGAACAACGGAGATATAAGAGAATTATTTTTGAAAATATTTAATAACTGATTTGTGCCTGACCTACGACAACCCGCCGGTCTCTCGCTGCGTTGACTCATCGGCCGACCGCTCGCGTTGTGCGGGGCTACTACTGCGATACCTACTCCATTGCTGCTACACTGCAAGACTCAAGAACGGGGTGCTGTGTTCGACCGGCGATGATGATGGCGTGTGGCGTTACGTGTGCGGGATGTCGTGGTATAATCACTGAAGACAGCGCGTACATGACTTGCGTAAAATGTAAGCAATCTTTTGATATTTTATGTGCGAATTTTACCAACAATGCATATGCTACGTTTACTTACGAATTCAAAAACTCATGGATTTGTGTAGAGTGTCGTAGCAAATTACCGAAAGGTGATAACTCACAAACGCCCGTACGTCAGACTCAACTTCGTACATGATATGAGTATCGCCAGTGACTGCGCCCCGGATATATCTATGCATAGCACTCGCAGTCCTGATAATGTTACAATGCGTACTGGTTTACGCTATGCACATACGACCGCACGAAGTGACCTGCTCAATAATTCACCTGAAGCGATGCATGTCTTCATTGCGCGAGAACTGAAATCGATGCAGGGGGATTTTGAATTACGCCTGTCTACAAAAATTTGTAAAATAATAACTGAGCAATTCCACCAATTTAAAACGGAATTTTGTAATAAAGTAGATATTTTAACCCATAAAATTAAGGAATTAGAGGAAAGAATTGATTCAATGGCTGTAATAAATAATAACAAGAAACAAAATAGTGTATCTAGTAATGCTGAAGACGTTCAATGCTCTGTACACACTGATATTGCTAATAATAAGCTTAAGGCGCCGATGATTCATTCGAACAAACGGAAGATCTACAGCAAATCAGTCAAAACCACGACCATATCTTCGACTAATGTTCCAACTCCTACTCCTAGTGTCTCAGTTGCTACTCCTAATGTTTCAGCTGTTACTCCTGCGACGGCACCCATAGACTCTTTGACACAAACAGATAATAATAATATTGATATTAATATTGATCTTGATGAAGAGCATAAATCAAGTGGGTGGTTGGAGGTTCAGCGTAGACGAGCCCGTACTTCTCTTGCTGGCTTGCGTCGAGGCACTGCGGCGCCAGAGACCATGACATTACGAGCTTCAGAGCGATGGAGGTATTTACATCTGTTTTATGTACAGGAAGGCACTACTGTTGAGCAGGTACTTGCTCATCTTCATTCCATCTGTGGAACTGAAATCTGTACGGTTGAATCGTTAAAGTCACGAGGACGATACGCATCGTTTAAGCTTGGTGTACCGTCAAAATTCGCAGATACTGTCATGTCGCCGTCAAATTGGGCTGAAGATATTTGTGTGAAACCGTGGCGTCAGAACTTTCGTGCTAAAGGAAAAAGTATGTGAGCGTGCTGCTTCTAAAGTTAAGTCTCTGAATATGTGTTACCAAAATGTACGGGGTTTGCGCTCAAAAACTAATATTTTCTTAAACAATGTAGCCCAGAATGGCTTTGATGTTATAGCGTTGACAGAAACATTCTTGACTAGTTCCATATCAGACGGCGATTTCCCCCCTAACTACGCGGTAATACGGAAGGATCGTTCAGGTGACTGTGGTTGGGGTGGGGTGTTACTCGCAGTGAAAGACTGTTATTCGGTGCGTGAGATAACAGATATTGATGCTCAGACGTCTGAAATGGAATTGGTCTGCGCCATAATTAGCTACAAAAAATTCAAATTGTTGTGTTGTGTAGTTTACTTGTCTCCCAGCTACAGGGATGATCAATACTTGAACGTCTTGACATGTATCGAAAATGCAATTCTGACTTACGCAAATATGAATATTTTGGTAATTGGCGATTTTAATCTAAATTCTTTTAGTGCCAAAGTGAAATTTAATTTTGATTTGTTTTGTGACGTTTGTGGACTACAGCAGCATAATAAAGTATATAATAGTCGCGGCGGTATGCTGGATCTGGTGTTGAGCAGTATGAACCCTGATCAGATTCAGGTTTTGGCTGGTGCTGAACCGCTAGTACCAATTGATTTATATCACCCTCCTTTAGAGGTATTTGTCAAGTTCTCGTGTGGTGGATCAGTGCCGCCATCAACCCTACCTCAGCCCTCCTCGTGCTCTGGTTCTAGCCCCGACTGGAATTGGCGTAGGGCTGACTATCCAAGTCTCTATGCGGCTCTGAATGAGCTGGATTGGTGTGACTTATTTGCCACATCTGATATTGACTCAGCCGTTGACCTGTTCTATAATAAAATATACAGTTGTATTGACCGTTTCGTGCCGCCAAAGGGTCCTCGTATCAGACATAACAAATACATTTATCCGAAATGGTATACAAAAGAAATCATAACTTGCATTAAAACTAAATATTATCATTTGAAACGTTACAAGGCCGAAGGTAAGGAATTTAACAAAGAAATGTTTAAATATTATAGGTGGCATGTTAAAAATCTTATTGACAATGCTTATAAGTAGCACTTAAATTTGATGCAAAATAATATAATTGACGACCCTACTCAATTCTGGACATATATTAAAGATAAAAGAAGGGACCGCCAACCTGTCGGTACTTATTTACATAAGGGAGAGGAGGTGACCGGCCAGGCTGCGGCTAACGCTTTTGCTGATTACTTCAGCTCAGTATTTCTTGCCGAGGTACCTCGCTTGAATCCAACTGAGGCTGCTCGTGCAGGTCACATGCAGGCAGACGCCACTTTTATTTCAATCGGGCAGGTTGACGCATCCGATTTGAAGTTAGCGGTAAAGCGCCTCAAGCCAAGATCTGCGGGAGGTTCTGATAGTATCCCGGTATTTTTGGCAAAGGATTGCATTTCACTTCTCGAAAAGCCGCTCCTATTTCTTTTCAATCTATCTCTGAAACTCTCAGTGTATCCTGCGACTTGGAAACTAACCAGAGTAACCCCAGTCCCAAAGGGACAAGCCGGTAACAATATTTCGAACTTTAGACCTATCGCAGTTCTATCTGTCTTCGCTAAGATCTTCGAGACAATTCTGGGTCATCGTATTAATAAGCAGATACAATTTTTTTTACATGACTGCCAGCACGGTTTCCGTAGTGCTCGTTCCACTACCTCTAATCTTGTGGCTCATGTGGACTACGCGTATGCGGAAATGGATGCGGGCAGACAGGTCGACACCGCCTATTTTGACTTCAAAAAAGCGTTCGACCTGGTGGATAATGATATTTTGTTGCAAAAATTAGCAATAATGGGCTTTACACCTAAACTATTAGATTTTTTTTCTAGCTACCTACGAAATCGGTGCCAGTTTGTAAGAGTTAACGGTTTCGAGTCTAGTGACTACTATACAAGGTCCGGTGTTAGCCAGGGCAGTACCCTGGGACCAACGCTATTCCTGATCCTTATCAATGATTTGCCGATCGGTGTTGGATCTTCGAAATGTCTTCTTTTTGCTGATGATCTCAAGTTGTCTTTGGGGGTTAGTTCTGTATCGGACTCTCAAACCTTGCAAGAAGATATTTCTGCTGTGGCTGAATGGAGTGAACTTAATCGTCTTCCATTTAATACAGATAAATGCAAAGTTATTACTTATACACGAAAACGATGTCCTTTAAATATGGCTTATAAACTACATGACGCACCCATAGAAAGGGTAAGTGATATTCGTGACTTAGGTTTAACTATGGACTCCCAATTGGACTTTCACAAACATGTGGTAACAATCTGTAAGGCGGCAAATAAAACGTTAGGCTTCATAATTAGAACTTCTGGTCAGTTTGACAATCCGAGGGTCGCAGCAGTGCTTTATTATACTTATGTCCGTAGTAAGCTTGAATTCTGTGCCGTTGTTTGGGATCCTTACGAAGACAAGTACTGTCATATGGTGGAAAAAGTGCAGCGAAAGTATGCTCGATGGTTATACAAGAAAAAGTACGGCTACTATCCTTTCTTGTATCCGTCTATATTTGTTTCAGGTATGGTAGATATGGATACCCTTAAATTCAGGAGAATCATGCAACTTCTGCGGTACTA